TGGAGGATATGTGCCGATTATTGGACTAACTGCAGTGAGCAGAGATCTTGTTGCGTCAATGAGGGTTCTTGCGTCGATTCTGGACCAACTGCGCGGGTCAGAAGGCCTTCCAGGTTTCGGAGGGACCAATGTGATATGATGTATGCCTCTAAGGGCCTCTGGATCACCCAGGGATCCTGCTCCGTGTAGTCAGAATGGCAGCCGGAAGACACCCCGCGCTGGGACGGAATGACCCTTCAGCCCTTGACCGGGAACCATCATGTGCCCCCTGACGCTCCACTCAAGGGGACGTCTTGCCCGGAATATAGTAAAGGGTCGCATTAGCGTTGAATACAATGAGTTGTGAAGAGTTAAAAAATGAGCAAGGCCATCCCATGTTTTCCTGAAAATGTTCATATTTGGCAGAATCAACCAGTGAAACAAATTATATCAAAAGTTTGAGTCTGCGCGCTCCTAATCTCGGGAGTAAGGACAGCAATGGCCGGGGCTGCCAATTTACGTTAACCGTGCGGCGTGGACCACTGCAAGTAAGGAGAAAAAAAACTGACGAAAAAATCCAGGCAGGGTTGATCGCGCGGGAGCTTCTGGCTTCCGTTTCAGTTACAGGAGGTAAGAATGGAAAATAACTAAGAAAAATACACCCTAATAAGTAAATGGGTCTCACTCGGCGGCTCTTTTCTGTGGAGGGGCTTTCACTATCAGGAGGCTCTTTGTCAACTTTGTGCCCCCCCCCCCCCCCCCACTTGTCATGGTTCTGGCTGCGCCCCTGGTTCTGTTTGACATACAGGTAGCGTCTTCCTTTTCGTTGAAGATTTTCTCTTCAGGCCTTAGCAATATTGTAGCTTGTTGGCTTTACCATAGGCCTAATAGGAGGAGAGCATCGTCTGGCGATATTTTAATTATTATAACGTCCATATCTTTCGATGTACATTGTCTTACATGAGCCATCCATATACCTTTATGTATTATACATGCCAGTCCATACCTTTATGGCGGAAAACAAAACGTCAAAGCCACAATATGTAACGTCTTCAAGACTTTTTCGGTTCGATGTGGTATAAATCCAAATTACCTGCTTGTCCCAAGACCACTAAAGTTAGGGGAATTTTTGGGACGTCGAATAACTTAAAGGGAATGCTTCACATTTGAAGCTTTTGAAGCAAGCATCAGATATAATGAAACAAGCTCACTTATAACTGTTGGTACGCTTTTTAATAGCAAAAGACTGCTGTAGACAGCACCATTCTCGGTTTAGTAAATATGCTCCTCAATGCGTCATGGCTTGATTACGTGATTGTATCCTGCACGGCATTGATTGAGAGCCAATTGACGGTCGTTGTATCTAGAAATCGCGCTCACGCACGCCAGATATGAAAGCTTCGACAATTATATTTTTAATCGGCCTTGTCCGCGGCATGGGTTATGCAATAGCATGATTTAAATGATGTTACTATGATATCATGAATGCCAAGCTGACTTTGAAATACTCTCTCCGATACACCTTTCCAACTTTTCGCGGGCGTGCGGCTCAGGAACTAAACTAACTAAACTAAACAAGAACTCAGGAACTTAGGTCCTAAGAAGGGCAGAATTTTGAACGGTGCCCAAAAGACCTCCAGATGGCCATTTCAATTCAAAACCCATATAAATGTGGAGCACTCACTTTAACCGTTAGCATGTACGTGAGGGCATTTATCAATATTGTACAATGAAAAATTTAGACCTCAACCAGCAAAATAAGGCCAGTGCTTTCGCAAGCGTTCTGTCGGCTGCCGCAGTGTCCAAAAAGTGGTTAAGCACATCAAGAGAGCATGCGCACAACTCCCAAACCAACCCGCTTCAGCAGAATACTGCACATCGTATCGATGTGACGCCTAGGTAACAGCAACGGTTATAGTTTTGGCTACGGGTACATGATAACAATCTTGACATGATAGATCCAGATCACTTTGTCTCACCGCAACTTTACTACGGGCGCATTTCAGCCGTTGAGGCATGCGTCGACGAGCGTCAGATCTTCCGGGCCCTGCGAAATAGTAAATCAATGACAGGTCTCATCTGGCCAGAGCACTGAGTGCTGCCTCCCATCGCACAGAGCTTGGTGTTAGCTCAGCTCGTCCACTCTACTAGCTTCTGAGTGGCGCTGAGCGGCTTACACCATTGAGCATCATACTGAGTGTCTGCGCCTCGTCCCCGCCGTTCCAACCGGGCAAAATTTTGAGTAGTTGCGGTAAGTCTTCGCGCTTCCCACTGACAGGCCATCGCGTGCCCGTTCTTTAGCTCCCTCTGCTCCGATTGCGCTTCGGACGGGCAGGTAGCCATATCTCCGAACAGACACCAACATCCCGGAGCCAAAGTTTGAGAACAGAACCAGAGGACGGAAGAGAGAAATGGCCTCGGTGGGCGGTTGACCCAGTTTCCCACCTCGGACGTGTTCCCGTTCATCGGACCAGTGTCTATGCCGCTTCCCCAGGACAAATGCTCCCCGCGCCATAAGGACAGTGTTCCCCTCAGCGGGTTGGGTCGTGGGTGCGCTCGGCGAGTGAGCCGCTTGCTGCAGCTCTAGCCCCATCCCTCAGGGGAGGGGGAGGGGCCCGCGGCACAGTCGTTCTGGACTGGCCGCGCGGCGCTTCTTGCGGGGCCCACGCCAACGAAACCGCTCCGGCCTCGGCTCATGGAGCCAACGCTGACCTCACAGAGCAAACGGGGTGGACCATCATATCCAGCTGATGGGAATGATGCTGAAATCCTCTGGTAAATATTTGGCATCCTCCCGGAAAATACCAAGGTCACCTATAGCTTGCGGCATTTCATTAACGAGTTCATCACCAACGCCAAAACGGCTAAAATGCCAAAAATGGAAAGTCCAACAGGTCATATATGCCATTTCATTTGTCTACGCAAAATGAAATATATAAAGATATGCAATACTGCGTATGTATTATAATATAAGCCTTTCAAACTGCAAAGACCGGACCCATGCAACGCCTCACCACATACGAATCCCGACTCACGTCTTGCGGATCGTGACTCACGGACCACGACTCACGACTCACGACTCACGACTCCCGGCTTACGACCGGCGCGGCCGGTGCGTGAGCAGATTTCCATCGGGGGCGGAGGCGGTCGGCTGTCGCGGCCGGCTGCCGGTCAAGTGGTCTCCACGAGGGGCGTGGTGAGACGCCAGCGGCCGGCCCGCCGCCGGACCGGACCGGACCGGACCGGACCGGACCGGACCGGACCGGAGGCGCGGCTGAGCAGCAAGACTACTTCTCAAAAAAAAATTGCGGGTCTTTCTGCTGATACTAATGAGCCTCCTCCATGAGAGAGACGGAGGCTCTCCTTCCCCAGCCTTGCAAACTAGAATGACGCTATATGGTGTTGCGTGACAAGAAATGCACACAAAGAAAATTATCTTTGCCGCCTCAGCTTTTCTGAGGTCCTGATCCCTGCTGGCGGCCGATCCTGCAGCAGGGCCACCCGGTGCCGCCGTCGCTCGAACGACGTGCGATGTGCGGGGAGGGGAACGTTGACATGCCAGGGGGCGGGGCCGTGCCCGTCTCACCGGTTTGGGGGTGCAGGCGGGTGGGACTAATCGGGTTCCGCATGTGCCACGCAGCCGGGGACACAGCCTCGGGACGCAACTCGCCACGGACTGAACGTCCAAAAGGCATTTAAAACTGGGCGAGGTTAGCCACAGGAGAAGTGAAAGGATTCAACACGCCAAAGAACTGTTTTAGCATCGCGCAAAAATGTAGCACAAACTGGCATTCGGGTGTTCGAAACGAATGTGGCGTGCCACGAACAAAGAACTTAGATATCCCAGTTTGTAACGTACCACAACTTTGACCCAGCAGGCTAACATTCGCCCCTTTCCGAGGACCCCCGCACGTGATTGCTCACTCACGGCAGTCGATCCACAGCCTTTCAGAAGCCGTCCTCAAAGCACCTATCACACACGAAAAGTTCCTTAGCATTTCATTATTTGTATCTGAGGTAGACCTGCCAATAGCCCGGCTTTTAGCCATGTTCTCAAGGAAATGTGATCAGGTCGGAGCTGCGACCAGGACAGCTGGTTCGTGAGGAAAATCAGCCTCTCATCGCGACCGCCGAGAGACGCGTGAAATAAGTGTGGAAATGTTTCACGGAGCTGAACTAGGCCCGAGCTTTTACGGACGTCGGAATCACTAATGTGTCACTTATACAGTGAGGCTGGAAAAATATGCCGTGCAGACGAGCCAGTAACCTATGAAACATACCTCACGCGAGCCAGCGCGGGGCAATGACAACATGACTCCCTTAGAGTGCATGGGCCTTTCCACAACCGTAAGTTTTCTACGGATAGGCGTTCCTAGGAAGCACGTCTCGTGATGTCTCCGTTCTGGTGGCAATGCCCCGAGTCTTAAGCACTTTTATCGCTGTGTTCACAGCACAAACGACGTTTCAGGGTATTGATTCAAAGCACGGGCGCAGCCAGTATATACGACGAAGGGGGGATGTAACTGGATTTGTGAAGGGGGGGGGGGGGGATATGACATTCTAGGACCCAGCCCCAGCCCCATTCATAGGTTCTACTCGCTGCAAAGAGGCTGCAGTTGCCACGGTTGCTAAAGGTGCAGCGCCTTACGTATCAATGCGCCACTGAAAATTGATACCCTGACGTCGTAAACATTTGCATCAATTGCGCACCCTACGGACCTACTCGGTTACCCACTCTACGTCACTAAATTTCCGCTGATCGACGCGGCATGTCACCGCCAATAGTAGTAGCCAGCGAGACGCAAAGCCCACATCACCTTCATGGTCACCAGATGGCGAAAGTGTTCCAGTAGTGTAGTGATGAAAAGAAACTGCACTGATCCTGCCGGGGTTCAAGCCTCATGAACCCCTTGCCTTGGCTGCGCCTCGATTCCAAACCTAGCGGCGACCGGTTCATGCAGAGATGCTCTGGAACTGCTCGCGGCAGGCAGAGGCGGCAAGTAGGCCGACACGCAACTCACCTGACGAGCTGAGGCTTGGTGGGATCCCCCGGCCGCGTGTTCCGTACTGCCGATCTTCGACAGCGTCTGTCAAGCGGGACCAGGCACCGAGCAAGTCTCTTGGCCGCCTCAGAATCGAGACCGTCTGCCGCGCGCCCCCACCACGCCGCGGCTCCGCGCTGCGACTGTTTACCATCAGCTGATGGACGACGGAACTGGCGCCGCCAGCGCCGCCTGGCGGACGATCGACGCACTACAGCGACCAACGATTTGGTGTCAGGCGCAGACGGCTCGGCGAAGCTTGCAAACTTGCTGAAATTGCAATGGCGCGGCGGTTGCAAGATTGACATGTCCCGCGGACCTCGGAACGGATGACTCTGGACTTCAGCAGGCAGGCGTCGCAGAGCTGTGAGCAGGGCGATGTGACCCATTACGGGACAGAAGGTGGGACTTGCAAAAGGACACCGGGACGCAGGGCTCCGCTGCTTGCTCTCAGCGGCAACAGTCGCTGGGGTGCGTAAGCTGAGCCTACTGCTATTTTTAACAGTGAGGTCTTTTTCATGGCGCTTTTCTTGCACTTTTTCACACGAGGGCTTTAAAGTCGCCCCGACCCACCTTTAGGGGAAGTTAGAATTATCGGTCTACTTTGGAGATAAACAGTACATTAACCCCGTAACAATGCATGTCAAAGTATGTCCAAAGTTTGCATTGCCTGCGCAACTTAATAGAAGTCCCGGTATATACACACTCCTGGCATATAAACGGGCGCGACTCCCTGTGGATTTTTAGTCTATTATCTCAAAGGTATTTTTGACGCGCGATTCAGTCCATATTCCCCTTGCCATTATCGCTGTGTGGTCTCCCCACGGTATTCTTGACCTTGTCTATGAGCCCCGGTGTACCTGCTGCCGTTCCCCCTCCCCCGCTCCCAGCCAATCGTGTCCGTTCGCCCCTGCCTGGCTGCCTGGCTCCCCGTGGCCGGACGCCGGGAACACCACCGCTGTCTCGACTCCCCGTTTCCCCGCCTCCCGCCTCCCCGTGGTCGGACGCCGCGAACGCCATCGCGGAGTCCGCTTCCCCGCCTGACTTTCCGCCTCCCCGTCCCCTCCCCCCCCCCCTTAGCCGGAGGCCGGGGCAGCCGCTGCCCGACACCCCGTTTTCCCGTTTCTTCGCCTCCCGCTTTCCCGTGGTCGAATGTCGGAAACGCCACCGCTGCCTGACATCCCACCTCCCCGCGTCCTCTGTGGCCGGAGGCCGGGGCAGCCGCTGCCTGACTGCCCGTCTTCCAGCCCTTCCGTCTCCCCGCCACCCCGTGCCGGACGCCGGCTACGTCGTCGCTGCCTGACTAACTGACCTCCCCCCTCTCTGTGGCCGGAGGACGGGGCAGCCCCTGCCCACCTCCCCGCCTCCCCGTGGTCGGACGCCGATGTCGCCATCACCGCTGACTGGCGGCCAGCGCTCAGCGCCGCCGACGCTGTGGCCTCAGCGTCAGTAATGGCCGCCCTTGTTAATGCCGGCCCCTGTCAAAGGCTCAAAGAACAGCCCGCGCCAATTAAGAATATGCAGCCGGCGGCCACCGACGATCGACGAAAAATACGGTCGGCCGGGCGGCGTGGCGTCGGTCTCGTCGATCGCGGCGGGCCGGCGGTGGGCGCCCGCTCCGCCTCGGCGGGCGGCACCCCCGCGCGCGGCGGCGCGACCACGCCGGCCTGCGCCGCGGCCCGGACAACAAATCCGGGCGTCAGGGGTCGATAGCGGAAAATGAAGCCATTCGTTCGGTCATATTGGAGCGGACTGAGCCACGCCGATTTATGGACGGCCGGTGATGCTCGGTGCCGTGAGGAGTGGACAGCTCGGAGTCGCCCCCTGGTGCCGAGAGTCCGGGACTCAAGCGGCGCCGAGAGTCCGCGACTCGTGCGGGAGTGCTCACCTATCAAAAAGACGAAACCACACCGGCTTTCTGGCTGCGCCACCGGATGGTTGGTGTTGAGCAGGAACGACGTGCCCGATAATGACAGATGTAGTCGCGTCTGTCCTTTCCCGACATAATCCCGGTTTGCCTGTGAAATGTGTGGACGGCATCATTTTGTGAGGATCACCGCACGCTCCAAGTGTAAGCGTATAACCGCAGGCGAGGCATTCGCCATGGCTGGCATTCGTGTGACTGTGCCCATGAAAGGAAATGGCGTCCTGATAAGGCATTAGCCTATTCCCGCACGAAATGTCAAGACATTCTGAGAATGATTGGGTGAGCTAATTCGAGGCAGAAAGTGCGTGGCATGGCGGCGTCGCTATGTGGCCGCGTAGTCACAGTACAAAACACAGCAGCGCAGCCGACACGTCCGTCCACTAGCCTGAACGACGAACAGCAGCTGTGTGAGGGAAGAGGATGCGATTGCTTTGTAACTGCGGGACCAGCCTTCCGTTCCAGACGCCGGACACTGGACGCGCAGCTCCGCAGTGTCGTGCTAATCGTCATCCCGAGAAGACAGTCGGTAGGACAGGATAGTTCTGCAGCATCCGGAATCCGGCCAGGGTAGTCGGCAGGACAGAGTAGTTCTGCAGCATCCCGAATCCGACCAGGGTAGCCGACAGAACAGGACATTTCTGCAGCATTCGGAATCCGGCCAGGCTAGTCGACAGGACAGGGCATTTCTCCAGCATCCGGAATCCGGCCAAGTTAGTCGACAGGACAGGATATTTTTGCAACATTCGGAATCCGGCCAGGCTAGCCGACAGGACAGGGCATTTCTGCAGCATCTGGAATCCGGCGGGTTATTTGCACTATTCTGTCGGAATTGCCAGATTGTCCAAACTTACACGTCACGTTGCGTGCTTGTGGTAAACGCGACGAACGTGGCCACATCTGTTTATCTTGGCAAGAGCGGAGCGGTGATCGCAAAATGCAGAGTGGATGCGAGCATGTTCATCAGAGACTTGGCCGCCTGGATGCTTCCACGAAGCTGCACGTGTACTGTAGTTGTGATCCATCATAAATGCAACTTGCCTTGCTTTAACCAACCGGATATTTTCACGTAGCGGGCCGTCGCAGGCGCCTCCTACGTTCAGCACCATTCCGCCTGCCGTAACGCGCTAGCCTACTTCTGTCCTAGGGGGCTGCTCGCTTGTCCTTTGTATTGATCGGAACCTCCGAAATAATGCAGAGTTGCTGGCTATTGGCAGTGCTGGGCCTGTGGCATCAGCTATCTTGATTTTAAAAGTGATCTAAAAAATACGTGGGCGCTAAAAGACAGTCGAAATGACGTTAGCACAATACATACCAGTCGGATAATGATTTAGCCAAAACTGTTTCACTCGCTCAAGTTCTGCAAATTCGTAATCTTCCAAGCAGATTTCAAACAATTCATAAGCAGAATATGAATATCAATTATGAACAAACGGCCTGACGAGGAAGAAACCGGCTATTATCCCTATAATTGAAGAGAGCTAAATAGTTTAATTGCGTTGAAAAGGGACTTCAGTCAGTTGATCACGTCCAGCGCCACTGCGGTTGAGTCACTCTCTTTTTGAAACTTGAAAGCTTGGAAACTCTTTTTGTTCTCTTTCACAAAACACAAGTTGTCTCATGCGTTACTCCAAAGATCTGCACCGGACGACACTTTACAAATTGATAACTGGGGGTTTTAGACCGATAATCCATGAACAACTGCAAGCCTGCCAAATGTGACTTTTCCAAATGGCTGGTGGACGAAACATGCATGTCGCTACGTCAACGAATTCGCACTGTGATCTCAAAGAGATTTCGCGAGATTGAGACAAAGGGCAGGGGTCCATTTCCAATCTGATATTCATGGTCAGCAGCCAGGAGCACTCGAGAAGTGCGGAATACAGATGCTGTGCGGGCTGGCTCGGCCGAGTGAACTACGTATGACGAACCTGCCTCCTGACCGATGCCTTGCCTGTTAGCGGGTAGGCTGCTCATTGCCCTCATAGCTCTGTGCAGGAGAATTTGTTCTCACCGACCCATCACCCACCAGCGTGTAGTCAAGATTTTCAACATATTTTGTTTTTCCTTAAGATTCAATTCATCTTAAAACCAGACTTGCTGCCGAACACAAAAAAATTGAAGCGATCATGTTTTCATTTATCAGGGTAACAATAAGTGTCATTGACAGAAAACCCAAGACAAACATGACACACCAGTAAACCAGGCTGCACAACATTCATAGTTGACAGAGAATGTTTAACATCTGAAGATATTGCAGTAAGCATGAGATATGATAGAATAAGCTCACTTATAAATATTGGTATGCTTTGAAGTGGAAAAGTCTCCTCTAGACAACACAATTTTTTTCAATTTAGTAATTATGGTTTCCAACACACCACCATATGGTTGCGTCATCGTACCTTGCGCAACATTGATTGAAAGATTGATTAATTTGATTTACGCCTGGCTGCAACTGTGAGGTTGCTGTACTCACAAATTTGCCTCGTTTACACACAAACCATAACTCACAGATCACAATTCATATTTATGATCAGTGAAATGCTTCGGAAACTGAGCATTTTGTTTCACTAGCTTCTCCCACTTCTCAATACAGCTCGCAGTCCATGATATATATTAAATGCGCAATAGTTGTCGAAACTGAAAAATTGGCGGCCTAGAGTCTGTCTACATATGTGTGAAGAAGATGCCACTTGGGATCACGACCACTGGGACTTCACATATAATGCGTTTTCCCTTACTGCAAGAATTATTATTTTTCAGCATTTCTAATGAAGAGTTTTGTTCTATCTGATTTGTCCATTTCTTTTAATGTTTGTATTTGTATACAGTCCTGTGTCAAGAATTACATTTCAACATTTGACGACAATGCAGTATTCGTTAGGCATCCAAACTTACAGTCAGCAGGCTAAGTGGCATGAAAAAGAGCTCCTGAAAATTATTTTTACAACTCTGGTTCATTGTCGTGAAAAAGGCTTTTGTGGCATTGCTAGCTGTTAATGATATCACTGGGGGACGAATAACTATGGACAAAATATTATTACTATCCTTACTTTCACCCAGTATCACACAAACGGTGCGATGACAGTTGCGGCGTGAAATGTGTCTAGTGGTAAGAGAGCAGTGTGAATCTTTTCAAAGCCGCCATGTGGTTTTTATTTGCTGCTGTTGCATTCTGTTTCCACTTAAAGAGAGTATGCCATCTT